ACCTTAGAGAGAATCAAAGAAAGATAGTACAGGGTTTGACAAATAACTTCCAAGACAAAATTATCATAGACAAAATTCATATTCAAGATGAACTAGGAAGAGAGTACATATCAATAAACAAAGAGGAAATTCTGTATCAAACTGCAGAGTACTATAAAAAAGCCTTCAAGAAAAGAAATAACAACTTTGATCTACTAGATGAGAAATGGAAGAAACAGTACACTCCTAAAGCCAAAATAAAAGAAGAATGGTATAATGGAATGATAAACACTATTTCAGAGAATGAGTTGGAAGAAGTTTTAAAAGATCTTCCAAACGACAAAGCAGCAGAACCTAACAAGATCAAATACGAGATGCTCAAAAATCTCAAAACAACAGGAAAAAGGATACTATGTCAACTCATAAACATATACCTAACCTACAATATGACTCCTATAGCATGGAAAGAAAGTTTACTATATCCAATCTCGAAGAAAAAAGAATGGCAAGGCATCCTAAGCAACACTAGACCAATAGTTCTTCTGGATGTCTTATGAAAGTGTTTTACAAAATTATCACTAATCGACTATCAACCATATACAAAAGACACAATATTCTAAAAGACCCTAATTTCGCAGGATTGCTAGAAGAAAACACTTCAGAACCCATCCACTTGCTAAACAATATCTGCAAAGAGACCAGAGAAAAGAAAAAGGAACTGTGAATTCTATTTCAAGATATTGTCAAAGCATATAACATGATTAGTTTGGAGATATTACAAAAAGTACTCCAAAGAATCAAAATTCCAGAGAACCTCATAGCACTCATATTAGATCCTTTCATTAATAGATCTTTACAAGTAATAACTGATGTAGAAATTACAAAGAAAATAATAGCGAGGGATGGAATAGATCAAGGAGAAACAATCTCTCCTCTCCTTTGGCATATTTTCTACGATCCCTTGCTATGCAAAATTCAGGAAAATACAAAACTGGGATACTCCATGAACTGTGAATGGAGAACCAACCACAGTAAAAATGAAACCATGCAATTGAATACCCAACAAGCTGCAATAGCATATATGACGACACAACATGGATCGCCAGATCAGAAAAAGACATAAAAAACATTCTCGAAAGAGCCAAGTGGTTTTATGCAGCAAATGACTTCCAGATTAATAGCAACAAATCAGTATTAATAACAATAAATAGCTACAACAAAGGACCAAACTCAGTAAAGATCGGAATGAACCAGCAAGAAGTAGTTGAGAATGATCGCAACAGTTTCACTAGATTCTTAGAAATATGGATAGGAAATAAAAAGCAAATCAAAGATACAACTCTTCGAATCCAACAAGAAATCACTACTGTAGTATCAGGCCTTCAGAAGAAAAGAATAACAGACAAATATGCAGAGTACATTTTAAACAGAATTCTTATTTCCTGCATAGAATACCGGATGTAACATTGTTTCCTAGATCAAAATATATGCAATAACCTAATAGCCCAATTAAGAAAGGCTTTAAAAAAAATAGTAGGACTGGTCTCAACAATTCCAAACTCAACTATCCACCACAAAAAAATATACAACATCAAAAGTATCAAGAAAATCCAAGCAGAAAACTAGATCTCCAACTTTATGAACAGATTAAGCAATATAGGTCCAGCCAGTATATTCACACTAATTCATCTTAAACAGGCCCAAATCCAAAATTGGGAACCAAGCAATATCCTAATCAATGATATTCCCAATCCTTTAGATGTTTAAAGAACTTCTTAGCCCAAGTACTGAAGTTAGCAAATAATCTGGAAATTACAATATTTAACTCCCAATGGTCAAACCATTTTGAATGGAAAGAAGGCTCACTATCTATCAAAAATAAGCTTAATGATACGGAAGTATATCAGAAAGCAATCCCATCCCTATGAAAACACAATATAATATTTGTAGACCAACTAATTGACAAAGACACGAGAACGATACTACCTTGGAAAATCATTCAAATTCTGTCTAAAACCAGTAAAGGACTGATACCATCTTGATACAATAAAATCCAAGTAGTTCTTACAAACAGACACAATGTTTTAAATAATAGATGGCAAAATTGGAACTGGGAGGAGCAAGATAGAAGATTTTTCACAAGTAATCAAAACAAAGACCAACGCTGATGGAGTTGGAAAATCACAAATACAAAAAAAACAAATAAACAAATTATTTGGTATAAAAGCAAAGGAAACTCAGGTCATCAGACTCCACATGCAGAAATTTATAAGCTGAAGACAGGATTCAAACCAGACTTAGCCAAATTTCAAAGAGTTCTAGACAGTATCCAAACAAATTCCAAAGGAGAAACAAGAAATCTCTTGGATAGAATAAATCCTCGTGAAGGCAATAAAAGATCAAAGATCAGAGTCCTAGCATGTGAGATTCTCAACCAATGCTCATCATTAAGAAAAACAAATAAATCAGAAATTTCAATTAGCATACACGTACTAGAAAATCAAGTCAGAAAAGAATTGGAGCACTTCAACAAATGAGAGATTACCGACAACCATGTTATGGCAGTTGAAATAGAAGATTTGGGAGTATCAATAATTAAGGAACACATCCAATTCCTGGAATACATACAAGCCCTGATAGAAGAATATAGAATAAATAAAAAAAGCAACTTTTATCAGCCTTATTGCTTCTATACAGACGGATCATATGGAAGAGCAAAAGATCAAACGCTAAAAATGGGAGCTGCTTGGCTACAAGAAAGAGGACCGAATCCAGGAAGATTTTTCCAAGCGGAAGTAGACAACTGGCCATCAGCACTCCAAGCAGAACTAATGGTGATTATTTTAACACTTCTGGTCATACCCCAAAAAAGTCAAATAGAAATTCGAACAGACAGTACAATCTGTATCAATACCCTACAGAAGCTCCTAAACCCACATGTTAGAGATACAGGAAAAAAAAATAGAAAGTGCAAAAATTGGCAGCTGTGGACAAGATGTATAGACCTGATACACAAAAAACAAATCATAATCAAAATGACCAAAGTAAAAGCATATGACAAAGATAAAGCCAATAATAAAATAAATCTTCTTGCCAAAGAAGCAAAAGAGGAACCCGAGATCATCTGGAATAACTGGTACCGACAAGAAGCTCTAACAACATTATATTGAAACGGGATCTTCATAGATATCAGAATAAGAGATTTTGTTAAAGAAATATACAAAAGAGCATCTTAACAAAATGGGCAAACCAGAACCGAATACAAAAAAGATGGGCTAAAGAAATAGAAGACCAAGAAAATTTTGATTGAAGAAGTTTTTGGGAAGCAAATAAAGTAGGAGGCTCCTTAATAACATCGCTCAAACAAGTCAAAGAAAAAGCCTTCCACATAAAACTGATGCATAACAAACTACCAATCCTGGACAACATGATCAAAAGATTTCCCACAAAATATGAAAACCTAACCATGTGTTTATATTGCCAGCAAAAAAAAGAATCTCTTGAATATCTCCTGTCCTGCAACAGTATTTCAGAAATTCATAAAGAAATATGGAACTAAAATCAGAACCAAATACTTAACAAATGATTAGAGAGTGTTCAAGCGGGAAAAATACAAGACAAGCAAGTTACCATACAAGATCTGTTGCAAAGATGGTATAAGAGCAAATTTTCCACAGGAATAAATATCATAAATATATGCTTAGGACTCTTTTCAAAGAAAGATATTGCAAAATGGATCCAAACAATGACCAATGCTAAGATGAAAGCTGCCAAAGTGAAGTAACTATTGAGAAAATTTTCAAGAAATATCTGCAAGCAAGTTTGAAAAAGGATATGGAACGATAGATGTGTTAAGCTACAGGACTCCAGAAGAAAGCCTAAAATATGTAGACATAAAGGGAAAACCACTAGTGGAAAAAGAAGAAAGAAGTATAAGTCAAAAGATCAAGAACAGGAGGAAACAAATCCCAAAATGTCGCAAAATAAGGAAGAAGACTTTGGCTCTCAGACCCAAGACAAAATTGCAATTTGGGATTGGATTAAAGAAGGAAAAAAATGGTTAGGAATATAAAAGTAGTCCAGACTTTGCTTAAATGAACTGTAGTAATGAACTGCAGACAATGATCTTTAAGATTGAACTCCATAAGCGAGTAAATCATAAAGGAAGCAATCTTTTTCATCTCCAAAGTCACATCTAGAGACAGCAGTCAGAGACGGGTGTTCAAGGCAATAGAATAGTTTATGCAATACGATGTACTACACATTATTTGTTTTCTGTAAAGATTTAATAAACAGTACACACTTGTTTGACTACGGAAAAAAAAAAATTATATATATATAATTTTTAAATATTAAATCAATTTTTTTTTACTTATTTTCAACCATTTTTTGTATATATAAAAAGAGTAAAAAAGTTTGTTATAAATTTTTTATTATAAAAATTAAATTATTTTAAAAACAATATTAAATAAAATTGTTTTAAGATACTTAATTATATGTTTATAAATTTTTATTGATTTTTATTCATTATTTATTAAATTATAAATAAAAATATAATAATTATTTTTTTTGTAACATATTGTATATACAGTATCCACTAATTATATGATCTATTAATTCCCTAGTAATTTTAAAAAATAATAATTGCATTATAGAATGCTGTAATAATAATTTTGTATAAGGTATTTAATAATAAACGCGAAGGTTAATGTAGTATCGTTTATTTTAATAATAATTCAATTAATAATTTGATTTTAATTAAAAGTCAGACGTTTCAGAACTCCAAAAAATGAAAACTATTCCTGATAGAAATAAATACAGTCCTCTCTATTAAACCCAAACTGATATTATATACAATATATATCTGCACAATTAAAGTATATCTATTTGTAAAAAAAAAACCACTTGAAATTTGTCATTCAGCTCGAGGAAAATAAAGATTCTTATATATATAGTTAAAAAATCGCAAAAACAGTGCGTATGCAGATAAAGTCTATATTCTGGATACCCCGCCCTTCTAATTAAGATTTCAGTGCCAATAATCTGGCCTGCATTTCGTCAAGTTCTGGTTCCTCTTCTTCTTTGACGACAGTCTGATAAATTAATTAAGAAAAATGGATATATTGTTACATCAATTCAAAAATATTGGGAAAAGTAATATTCATATATTAATTTTCTCACCTCATGTGGGACGTTAACCTCGTTAATCTCTCCAAGCAAACCTTTTTTGAAAATAAGTTGTATAGAAATTAATAAATAAAAAAATGAGAATTTGTGAACATTTTATAAATAATCTCTTATACCATCTGTAATTTCCACAAGAATTTTATTAACTTCCTCTTCGGCTGCTTCTTCGACGTCATCTTCTTCTAACGCTTCAAATGTATCTTGTATCATTTCATCAATCATACCAGCCTAAAGTAACGAGGATTTAAAACTTTATATCTTGAAAATGTTATACATTTAAATTTCGTACCTTTGTCATTTCCATAGATAATTCTTGCATGCCTTTTGCTATCACATCTATTCTCGTTAACCCGTTAACCATTTTCATCACTTCGGTACTTTTTTTTAGTGATCCGGAGATCTTTAGAGTAGCTGCCATTGTGTCAAATTTAATTATACGGTTAGCATCTCAACTCTGATATAAATTATGATTCTCTAAAGATCGATAAGAGAATTATAATAAATTTAAGTATCTCTCACCCAATTGGTGTTGAAGCTGTAAATTAATCGAATTCAACTGCGCTTTACCCGTATGTAACTTTTGTTTTTGTTTTCTTATTCCAACAAGTCCCTTGGCAAATATTTTACAACTTTTTACATCATTTTTTTGTGCGGCTTGTCTCAAGTCTTTTATCGCTTGTTTCTCCGCAATTTCAGTTTTCGTTATTGTACGGTCCAGCGAGCGCATTTCATTCCGAATGTCTCTTTGCCATTTCCTCACCTTTAAAATGTATTTATTCGGACATATGAAACGCGTGGCAAATATTTTTTAATTATCAGTATGATATAGAGAATATTAATACCATTTCCTCCGGGCTGGCCTTTTTTCCAAAAAACTTTTGTAAAGTAGTCATCGAGATATTGCGGCGGTGTGGTATTAGAAATAAGTGTTAATTTGTATTTTTTATTAATGTAAGTTATTTGGTTATTTATAACATATATGCAAGAGACCCTGGAGATCAGGCGCTGTTATTGCTAATTTCGGAATTAAAGAATTGAAGACATGCACAGTAGCTCAATAAATGATGGATAACCTAAAAATTATTTATAATATATACGTATATTAAGTAAACTTGTTCTTATAATAAAAAATTTGATTAAATAAATTATTATTATTATTTATTCTGAATACTATTTTAACAAATAATTTAAAATATTAAAGTATTTAAATTCAAATGTAATAATATTTATTTAATTTAAATAAAACTTTGACACATTAGTTAAGTTTATATCTGTACTTGACAATAAGTTATATAATAAAAAACCCTTTAGTAAGTATTTATTAAATAATACAAATAAAAAATTTAATTTATATATATTTAATTATTTAAATCTAATAAAATAAGATATAAGCTAATTGGTTTAAATATATATATATATTATTATTATTAAAGTTTTTTTTTTGTAATCAAAAAAATATTTATTGTATTTATTTAATTTTTTATAATTAAAATATAATAATATATAACTTCTATATATAAATTATTTATACTTGACTATTTATTATTAATTTGGTCTTTAAATATAATTTTAAAGATAATAAAATTGCTTTTTTTTTTTTGTTATAAATAAGCATTAAATAAAAAAAACTCTTTCCCACTCCCCTCCCTACGCTTAAAAAAATTTCCTTTTTAGGAAATTTTTAAGTTGTTTTCTTTTTTCGCTTTCCCCTTCCCCTAATATTATTTTCTTTTCCTACTACTCACTTCTTCCCTCTCCCTTTTTTTCTTCCCTTCTCTTCTATAAACTTTTCTTTTATATATACTCCCCTTCTCTTCCTTTTTTCCCTCTCCCTGCCGATGTTAGGTTTTTTTCTTCCACCTGAAGTTTTTCCTCTCTAGGCCTCTCTCTCTCTCAAAGCTGCCGCGTTCCATTTCATCACCCCTCTGGCCAGTTGACTTCCTTCTCTCAAGAACCATATTAAGAAGTAGTAACTTCTTTTATGTTGTGGGCCTTAAGAAGTT